CAGATCTGTCAAACTTCCGAACGATGCAACAAGCTGTCAGCTCACCCCTCGGCTCGAACGCTCTAGTTTCCTCAGAACCTGATCAATCCACCGATCAGTGGCGTGTAGCGGACGGATCGTTGCAGAAACTTTTCTGCACGGAGCTCAGCTCCCGAGAAACTTCATCGACTCTTCGCATGCACATCGGATCACCGTAATCAACATCATCACGATGAGCTCCCTCTCCCATTATCGGCGTCAGCAGTCCCATAATTGTCTCGATCTTCATACGAGTAAATCTCATACATACGATGCCTCACAATACAAAGCTTGGGGCGAGGGAAGGATGCTCAGAGGGAGTTAATGCTTGGAGAAAAATCTCACTCTCGCGAAGTCGAGCGCCGGAGAGGCTTCGGGAACAGCTTATGAGTCGATGGGATTTTTCCAGACGATAATTTCGACGATCCACGGGGCTTCCCTCATGGCACTCATTGAGTGTCAGCTAGCTCTCTCAGGCTTTTCGCTGGAGCGAGCTTGACAGCAGCTATGGTCACATCACGTCACCCTTGACGCGGAGCGTGAACCGACGAACCATCGTGAAATCAGCCCAATCATTTTCCTCAGTCAGTGTATTAACAGGTTCACTGCAGTGTTCATCAAGTTGAATAGACCACAGTGCCCGAACTACGGACTACGGATGAATTCCGTGGAACGATTCTACGGTTTACGACATAATTGAAAATACGAGAATCCACCGTACTACGGCTTCAAAGGCATACGGAGCGGAACCGTAGTACGGCGGTACTATCTACGGAAGTTACGGAAGAGCACCGTTGTACGGCAAAACGGTCTACGGAGTGGAGCCGTAGTGGGTTTTTACCGTCTACGGAGTGGGACCGCGGTAAGGTTCCGCGGCTCAGCGAGCGGCATTTTAGGACTCCATCGTGGTCTCAAGTAAATCTGCACGCGCTCGAGAGAGCTTGGTGTATATTTTCGTTTCGAGAATTGAGATCGAGACACATGAGTCTCGGAGACGTATTTTCCGGGGATGTAATCAGGCTGAGACGCTGAGACGATAATCCACCCTTCGATGATATCGAGAAATTCAAAGCGTTCGATGACTCGGAAGTCGCGTCCGACCACATTCCGGATTTATGTCAATGACTAATAACTCAGTTTCGAGACTTGATTCAAATCGGCGACGCGAACTTCAGAGTTCGTCTTCAAGACCGGTGAGCCAGCTTGGGCGCCGACGCAGTACAGGCCATGTATTCCGTGTCCGCATCCTAGCTATCAAGCAAGTTTTTGGCATGGCCGACTCGAGATGCTTCCATCGTGCCATCGATTTGTGACGAAGTCTATCGGTGTGAATATCGGCGTTCGTTTTCGACTCTATCTCCTGAGGGGTCTCCGCGGTCACCAGCGGATGGATAAATGAAGTACCCAGAGTGTTCCTTAATGAGAAGAGACTCGCGAGCCTCTGAAACCGCATGACCACATCCAAACTGTAGAAATACCTTTTCACGAAACGCAGTGAGATTCTTGGAAGCCTTCTCCTGCTTCCCGCCGCTTCCCTAATCCCTCGAAACAATGCTCAGTCGCTCAGCTCAATCGTTCCCCGGGCATTTTCCAGCATCAGAGGTCCTAAACTCTCGTGAAGTCCCCAGCGAACCTTGATCAGAGCTCCAAGAACACAGTCCTCTTACAGAATGGTATTCCGGAATAGCTGGATATCAGCTCGTCGACCGGAATCGCCTCGATATATGTATTCACATACAGCTGTTTCAGTGACGAAGATTGCTGCGGCTCAGATCGTGTTCCGGCGGAAAAGCAATGCCGCGGTGGCTTATAGGCGAGAAAATCTTTCACATACATACTATATTCACCCGGGCGAAGTTCCGCCATGGGTAAGATTGGGATGCTGATGACAAGCGTGCTTTCGGAGCAGCAATGGAACGAATCGAGGCACATGTCGATATCGGTGATCGACATCGGGCTCTGGACCTGGCGACTCGAGATTTGCGATTGGCGATTCGAGGCTCTTGAGCAGCCTCGCGGGCGATTGCACTCTACGTCGACATATAGCTGAATGCTGAACATTCGATTATTCGACATCGCGACTCGCGATAAGGCATCAAGAGCGAGTCTTGCTGAGCTCTCGACTCAGTGGAAGCTAAGACACTAACTCGTCGTACGACCCCAGGAGCACAAGCAAGCTTCGTTGGAAGTGTGTTAGAGTTAGGACTCGTGTCCCTGTACGAATCTTGTTCCTTAGCATAAGGCGATCGTGCGTACTCGAATCCTTCTTCCTCCACTGTTCATCAGATGTCGGTCCGAAAACGTCAGCGGCAACACGGCGAGATTCCAACACACTTGGACGAAACTCCATCCTTTCGGTCGCAAGATCGTGGCGTACTCAATTCGCATTTGAGACATCGTGCTATCCATGAATTACCGCGGGATGTCGAAAATCGGCACCTGAACTTTTCTTGAGATGGATTTTTAACTCTCGTAGATTCCCTCGAATCAGATCGGGGGATCCAGAGCGAATCTGCAACGTCCGCGGGCGACTCCATCTCCGAAATATCTTCTCAATTGAGTTCTCAAGACGTCGAGCGAAGTCAAAGTGAGCTCGTGCATCGGAAGTCGCTTGCTTGTATTAATAATTGACCGGAATCGCTCGATTCTCACATTTTTCTGCTCGTCAGATCCGATCTGGGACGACTTTGACAAGATCGACGACAAGTCCGCTAAATGCAAATGGTGCCCGGCGGTTCTGAAAACGGGGAACGGCAGCTACACCGGATTAAGAGGACATCTGGCGATGCATGCCAGACAAGGCAAAGTCGTTCAGAGGGAGAAGCTGAAGAGTTGGCTTATCGGAAGTATGATAAGCACGTTAAATGTGCCATGCAGAGCCTTCGATTCCGCGATCTTGCGCAGTCTATTCTGGCTCGCGCGGCTCGGTCCAGTCAGCGACCATATAGCTCGGCGGTACATAGATTCCGAGGCCAAGTGAGTCAGAATCCAAGTCTCGTAGTGGCAATTTTTCCCCTCGTTCGAATTACGGCTTCCGAGGTTTCATACCACCCATCGAGATCGGTCTCCGATTCACAGGCGGATGAGGGAAGAGCTTCGAGGGGCTCTCACAAAGCTGAAGGAAGAAGGAGCCGTCTTCACACTAACGGCTGATGAATGGACGTATCAAAGGAAAAGATTCCTCGGTAAGCGCCTCATGGTCGGGAGGAAGAATCACGAATAGCGTAACCATAGCTATACGACTCGTGAAATATTCCTAAAATGTAAGAAGGCCGGAAATCCAAAATCTCCAAATTCTCTGTGACACCTAGGTGTCACCTTACATTGCTCGCGCCTTATCCCGTGTATCGGCGGTCAACACGTGAATCTACTCTCGAGATTCATGGACCGGGCCACCACAGCGAGTATCCAGGAAAGTTTGCTCCGAAATCTCGCAGGCTTGGGTCTAGAAATCACGGACATAAGTGGTCTGACGACGGACGCCGCTTCGGTGATGCGGAAACTTGGAAGGAACCTCGAGAGAGCTGCGGCACCAAAACCGTTCTACCATCAACTGTGCTTTGCGCATGGACTCCATCTTGCTGTTCAGGATGCATTTAGAATGTCAGAGAATTCTAGCCCAGATGCAGTTGACGAGGCTACGGGAGAAGAATCGAATCCTGGGCCCTTGACTTCGGTAGACGTTTCTGGAGATACGGAATCTCTTGAGGGAGGAGTCGAGGGTAAGATTTTCCCTACAGCTCCGAAATACCTATTATCATTAGGATACATTGTCCAGGCGATTCTGATCTAGCAGAAGCTTCCCGTCGCCTCAGATTCATCGGAAGACGCGGATGCTTTATCATTCGAGATCGATCCAGACAGTGAGCTCGACAGCGACCCGAATGGGGCATCGGTGGCAACTCTCCTCAAAATCATTCGTAAGGAAGTCCGGAAAGTTCATAGGAGCTCCTCCTTGAACGATCAACTCATCGCGGCCGTAGCATACCTGGGCCTGTCGACCAAGAGGAAATTGGTTCTTGACGTGCCAACGAGATGGAATAGTACCCTGCGTATGCTGGAGAGCTTCCTGGAGCTCGAAGATGCTCTCCGACATCTCTTCGGAGATGAGTTTCCGCTTGGTCGCACGGAGCTTTCGAGAATCAAAGAAATTGTGGATGCCCTGTCCATAGTGGAAGAATGTTCGAAGAGACTTTCCTTGAAAAAGCTCACCTTGTATAACGCAGACTGTGCTCTGCAGGTGAGTCTCAGTTTCTAAACAAATCTGCTAATTCTATCTTCCGTGGCGCAGAGCTGTGAGGCCTCGACTATTTTCCTAGGTCATGGTGCGAAAGCTGAGATCAGAGACCACGGCCTTCGCGGAGACGCTGGTACAACGCATCTGTTTGCGCATACTCCAGAGGAGAGGTGTGGCCTCGCGACTTTGCAGGTTTGTGCACGACAGGGGAGAAGAACCGATCCTGGAGAATTGGCTCGAGGAGGCTCGTGATAAAGCAGAAGACGGAGAACGGATCAGTGGTACCTTCGCTGATAGCGGCAACATTGAGAGGGAGATAAAGCGCTTCTTGCAAACGGATAGCTGCGATCGACTTACACCTCGTCTGCCTAGAGATTCGATTGAGCTGGACGAATTCGAAGTGTCAATGCAAGCTGAGCGGGGAGAAATCGTTGCGCAGTCGGTCCCCATCAAGGAGGTTGTGAAGCTCCTTAAGCGAGGGTATAAGCATCAGTATTTTGCCGCGCCCAATGCTTGAAACATTGGCAGCGATACAACCTACGAGCGTGCCCGCTGAACGTCTCTTCAGTCGAGCGCGTCACGCCCGTCGGTTTTGCCAAGAAAGTATGAGTGATGAGCGATACGCCAACATACTGATGCACTGCCGATGGCAGCGCCACAGGGTATAAAAAGGATAACCTTCTAATAAAGTAACGCATTATTCCCACCCTTCGTTGTCGGCGTGCTACATTTTGGTGGCAGCGGTATGGACAAAGTGACATGCCCAGAAGTCGTCGACACTCTCGCGACGCTCATGGAGCAAATCATCTCTGTCAGCGATCTACCGCAGTTTAACCCAGAAAACCCGAAGAAATGGTTGAGGCGTCTAGAGATGGATGCCGCAGTCAATCAATGGACGGAACAGAAAGTCATACGCCTCGCCTATCGGACCATGGACGACGACACCAAGGCTTGGTTCGTACACACCGGTCCATACGAGAACTGGGAAAAGTTCAAGGAGGCACTCTACGGACAATTCCCGAAAGGGAAAAAGAAATCTCCGTCTGAATACTACAACCGGAAAAGATTCCCCAACGAGTCATTCACGGGTTTCATCCGGAAGAAACAGTCGTTGCTGCGGGAATTAGAGATACCCTTCGATTTCTCAAACTTCCTAGATGAGATAGAGAACTCATGTAATTCGGTGAACTTCAGGAACTTCATTGTCTCCGCCAACCCCGAAGATTTCGAGGCACTGATGGAGGTGGCCGTCAAGTACAAAGACCAACAGTCGAAGATAGAGACACCGATAAGCCAAAGACAGGAGCCGTCAGGAAAGACTAAGCCGCCAATTAGGACACCAGAAAAAGCATCGAAAGTTTGCTTCAAGTGTGGGAAGAGTGGACATTTCCGAGCAGAATGCAGTCAGTACGGTCGTAAGCTCCAAGTACAATGCATCGGGAATGATTCTGCAAACCCCTTCGAAATGCGAGTCAACATCCAGGGAGGACTCAGGACGGCCACGCTAGACACGGGCGCCGATGTCAACGCGATATCACCGACCATTCTCAACCTGGACGACCCGAACCTCGATATTTTGAAGCCAACAGAGAAGCCTTACGTGACAGATGCTCAGAGAAAACCCATGCACGTCATCGGTGCCGTCGAATTGGAAGTCGACGGGTCACGGGAACCATTTTTCATCATCAAGAATTTATCGAAGGAAGTCATCCTGGGTAAACCCTTCCTCACCAAATCATTCGATCTCGTCAATAAAGTTCAGGATTCCCAAGCTTATTCGCGACCGAGTTCTGCTTGTAAAGCTAAGAGCGGGACGGTGATACCCCCACAGGCAGCGATGTTCGTGAAGGCTCTAACGGAGAAGCCGAAAAGTACCCTGCAACTGGACGGTACATTACACTGTGCTCCCGGCAGCCAGTTCATAACACCGTATAGCATAGTGAGATCGAACAAGGGGGGTGACTGTGAAATCCTGGTGGTGAATTTGGAAAATACACCCATATACCTCAAAGAAGGAACATCACTTGGGCAAGCCCATGAGCCAATGGAGATAACGAAATCGGCTGAGAAGAGAGTAGATTCCAGTTGGACGAAGAATGAAGTACGACTAGGAAAAGACTTGACGAGAAGTCAAGAAGATCGCCTGATCCGTATGTTCAACGAAGAATTCGCGAATCTGTTCGGTCAGCCCGACAACTTGTCCTGTACCGGCCTTGTACAACATACCATTCCGACAGGAGACACGCCACCGATCGCGTTTCCAGCGAGACGCGTAGCCCCTGTCCAGCGGCAGACAATCACCAAAGAAGTGGACGGAATGTTGAGTTCTGGAATCATAGAACCCTCCTCGAGTCCCTGGGCGGCACCGGTAGTTTTGGTGAAGAAGAAAGATGGTTCTATACGGTTCTGTGTGGATTATCGGAAGTTGAATACAGTCACTAAGAGGGACGTTTACCCACTCCCGCGGATAGAGGATGCGCTTGATGCCCTCTCCGGTAATAGCTACTTCAGTACGTTGGACCTCATAAGCGGTTATTGGCAAGTTGAGATGGCGCCAGATCACAAAGCGAAGACCGCCTTCTGTACCCCCGACGGGTTGTTCCAGTTCAAGCGGATGCCCTTCGGGTTGGCAAACGCTCCGGCCACTTCCCAGCGGTTAATGGACCGAGTCATCGGACCGCTAAAGTACCGAATGGCCCTCGTCTACCTCGATGACATAATTATCTATTCGAAGGATTTTGGAACGCATCTCACGGACCTCAGGGAAGTGTTGAAGAGGATTCAAACAGCGGGGCTGAAGTTGAAAGCAAAAAAGTGCCTGTTCGCCACGAAAGAAGTCACGTATCTAGGCCATAAAGTCACTCCCCATGGTATAGCTCCTGACCCCGAGAAGGTTGCCGCGGTGAAAGGGATCCTTCCACCGACTAACCTTAAGGAGCTGAGGAGCTTCTTGGGACTGGCGTCCTATTATAGGCGTTTTATCAAGAATTTCGCCGCGATGGCCGCACCCTTGTACGAACTCTTGACGGACACAACCTTCGACTGGTCGAAAAAACACCAACAGGTGTTCGAAAACATTAAGGAGGTGATAACGAAAGAACCGGTCCTATGTCATTACCAGGATGGTCTCGAGACCAGATTACAAACAGACGCGAGTGGAACCGGCCTCGGAGCTGTACTCGTCCAGGTTCTTGAGGGCAAGGAAAGAGTAGTGGCCTATGCAAGTCGCCGCCTCACGAAAGCCGAAATGAAATGCCACTCGTCGGAAACGGAGTGTCTCGCTGTGGTTTGGGCGATACAGAAAATCCACTCTTACCTGTATGGCCGGCACTTCAAAGTTGTGGCCGATAGTATTTCATTGAAGTACCTAAAGAGTAAGGCGAACCTTTGCCCAAAACTCGTCCGGTGGGCAATGGCCATACAGGACTATGACTTCGAGGTCGTGCATCGGAGAGGGGTGGACAACGGAAATGCTGACGCCTTGTCAAGGCTCTCTGTCGCCACTCTCTGCGTCGAACGCGTCCGACGAGAACAGGGCCGTGACCCTGCCCTCCGTGATCTCCTACGAAGGCCGTCTGAAGGGTACACCGTTCAGGACCAACTCCTTCATCGCAAGGGTCGTCTCTGTATCCCCAATGTGTTGATGACTGACGCCATCAAACTTTGTCATGAGGACGACATGGCTGGACACCCAGGTATTTGGAAGACTCAGAGGCGCGTGAATGAACGTTTCGATATCGGCAAAGGGTTTCTCGCCAAGGTCCGCAGATTTGTTAAGGAGTGTGGCGTCTGCCAGAGGCAAAACAGGGGACGGTAAAAATAGGGCTGTTGCAACCTGTCAAACCCCCGACCCGCCCCTTCGAGAAGGTGGGTCTTGATTTCGCAGGGCCTTCCAACATCCCTGGAGAGCGGGCATGGTATGTCTTCGTAGTCATCGACTACTGTACTCGATATGTTCACTTGTATCAGACGAAACGAATCTCAGCCCGAATCGTGGTGCGTTCTCTGTCCACCTTAATGGGTACAGTGGGGAGAATCGGATCCGTAGTTACGGACAATGCGATGTGCTTCCGGAGTGACATATTTGGGGATTATCTCCGGACGTCGGGGATTTCGCTACATGCGGACAGCCATTGGTCATCCCC